ACATTTTCTGACTGGTGACGATGATGAGCTAGTTAAGTAATGTAACCACAGTTAGTCTATGTCTTGTAAATTCCCCTTGTTCTCCTTGATCTGCATTATATCGTTCGTGTTTTAGTCAGGCACATTTAGGGACAGCTAATGTAGTTCAGCTACGGGTCTTCGAGCTGGTTACACATGTGCGTTCAGGACATTATTGCGCATCGTCACATGCATAATTACCATCGTCACAGAGAGAATGCGTTCGTGAAGAATGTGAGCATATATGCAGATCTTTAGTGTTGGTAATGTTATAAGATTGTATGCATAGTGTCCTGCTCAGTCAGTGTGTTAATGAGTCTTGATGTCCCGTTTTAGTTTCTATGTTGTTCAGGAATTGAGCTAATGCTAGCTAGTTAGCTAAGTTAAGCTATGATAGTGTGTGGATGAGATGCTAACTTAGCTTTTATTAGCCGTGTGTGTTTGCAACGTGTCTAATGTTTTTAGCAACAATTAGTATTGCTGTTGCTTATTATTAATAACATCGTCTGGTTAGTTATTGTAATTTGAACCTTATTTCTATTTCTGTGTATTGCAGAAACCATTCATCATTCTCTACTCTACGTTAGGCTATGTGTTGTGGACTAATGCATTCAAGTTAGTTCACATTTTAGTTGTTATTGCCCCTGCTGACAATTGTGTGGATAATATGTAGCCTACAGTCAATGGCATTTCACATTTTGCTCTCCAGTGTATGTTATTTTAATGTTGACCCATAATACTATATATCTATATATTTACAGGAGCATTGTTGAAATTCATAGGTCGAACTAAGCCTGCAGAACCACAAGTCAAGAGGACAGAGGAGCCAGATAGCAGTGGTGACTGAGACAGAATAAATAAGGAGAGAGGGCCCATGCAGAGGCAGACATCAGTAGTGAGGAATCAGACCCAAAAGATACGAGGACAGAGGAGCCAGATCGCAGTGGTAAGGAACGCACTGTCATTTAATTTCACTGTTATTTTACTTTTCACATATCACTTTATTCACTATTCAGCTTAGTTATCCTTGCCATGAAGGATTGAATGGATGAATGTTCTATATTATTTTAATGACAGATTGAACCACAGCAATATTGTTTTAGAGATTTTATATGTTTAACTGCTATGCCTGTCATCTCTGCTCTGTGTCATTGTGTTGTCTCCTGGGTTCTGTAGTGCCTGGAGTCTGTCTTTTTATTTTTTCCTCCCAAACCCCATCCCCTCAGGATGCCTTTTGCCTCCTGTCAGGTCATCATTGTAATAAGAATTTGTTCTTAATTGATTTTCCTGGCTAAATAAAGGTTCTACTACTATTTATTCAGTTATTTTATTACTGGTATGCTAATTGCATTATGCGTATTGTTGTATATTGTATATACGTATGTATTTACTACTACTACTTACAAAATCAAGGGTTGTAGCTTTGTGTCAGTACTATTTCAGGGTTTTTCTATGCCTTTGTTCATCTAAATTCTAATACTCATAGGCGACTACCACTCCTGCCGAGGCCCAGTTCTCCCTTCCCACCACCCCAGGCTCATTGTGCTAGGTAAAACTCTCATTCAATAAAAGTAGTCTTTTAAAGGTGGGGTAGGTAATTTTGGAGAAACCAGCTCGAGATTGCTAGAATTTGAAAATACACAGCTGGAAAAAATGTGCCACTTCCTTACAGAGCCCCTCCTCCAACACACACGAACGCGCACATGACCAATGAGGGCACGAGATAAGTTTGTGCACAGATGGAAGGCTGACAGGCAGGTAGGCCATCCAGTCATTTCAACCGGGCCGGCTAAAATGATTGGTTGTGCTTTTTACAGTACCACGGCTTCCACAGATGATATTTTTTATGGATTTTTTGTCAAAGCACTTCAGATATTCATTGCTATCAGGATGTTAAGAGCATTCCATGGAATATAACAAAAAGTGTATCTCGAGCCGGTTTCTCAAACTTACCTACCCCACCTTTAAAGATGAATGCAATTACATTTAAAAAAGTTTTAAACAGAACTGTCACAGATGCAGATGCTTGGTCCAAATTCCATAAAATATACCAACCAGTAGCGCCACACTCAGACGAAAATGTACAAAGCCTATTCTTCCACTATTTGTATTCCCACATTATTCACCAAGCCAGCCCATGCTTTAATATAGATATTATGGATATTGTTATAATTTCCTGCTGTCTTTTGTGAACTTCTAATTATTTGTAATTGTTCTGTTCCACAGATGCTGTAGTAAACCACCATCCAGGGACCAAGACATCAGATATAAGAACATCCATTAACACAAGAATTTGTGAGTAAGGCACGACAAAAACAAGATGGACGATTAAATAGGGTACAAGACTGTTTTTTTGGCCCTGTTCCGGACCTTGTTTTAATGAGTGATCAGCTCATGTTTAAAGTTGTCACCAGGTGAAACAAAAAACAAGATTGTTAAATAGGATAACAGACTGCTCTTTTTGGCCCTGTATGAAATAACAATGCATCATTTATTAACTATACCTATACAAAATGTAATACATTTTCCCTTCATTATGTAATAACACCTCCTTTTGTAATAATTTGCCCATTATGTAGTAAACAAGTTCAATGCAAATATGTAATACATGTCGCCACATTTTGAAATATATTATTACATATTGCTGTGGTTATTACAAATGAGTTGCAAACAATAACATTACAACTGTTTATTTATTATTCAACCATGAATCATCCTTAATCATAATTTAAAAATATTTCAGTAGAATATCTTTCATTGGCCAAACTAGATCAAGTGTTACCATATTCATTAGCCAACATGGATATCAACATCAATTTTGGGATATATTTACAGTTTGGTTATGGTTACATAATGAATATTACAGTTTTTTTAAAAGGGCAAACTCACGCATTTTGTAATAACCATTGCAAAATGTAATAATTTATTACAAAATGCAGGGACATTTATTTTATATTGCGTTCAGGCTGTTACAGAATGCAGCAGATTATTACAAAATGTGGGTTTTATTACATAATTACATAAAATGTTCTTGAGTCATTACATAATGTGTTGTTTAGGCCTTTTCTTTTATTCTTTCCTTGTCCTTCTTTTAATGAGTATTTTGATAACTGTTACACATTGATAGAAAAAAACAAATTAAGCTTCTCATTATTCAGACTCAGCTCTCAGCGCTTAAGCTTCTTTTAAATGTTGATAAAACCAAGGTAATGCTCTTTTCAAAAACTAAAAAGACACCAGAGCCTGTTTTAGATATTTTAATTACACAAGGAATAAAACTTGAAGTGGTTGCCTGTTACAAATACCTTGGTATCTGGCTTGATGATTGTCTCACTTTTAAACTTCATGTCAATAACCTGCTTAAAAAACTGAGGGTTAGACTAGGTTTCTTTTCCAGGAACAAGTCCTGTTTCTCACTTGAGGCCAGAAAAAGGCTAGTCACTGTGACCTTTTGACCTGTGCTGGACTATGGTGATCTGATCTATATGAATGCACCTGCCAATTGCCTGGTCAAGTTAGATGCCGCCTATCACAGTGCACTGAGATTTGTGACAAACTGTAAAGTATTAACCCATCACTGTACCCTGTATGCAAGGGCAGGTTTGCCTTCACTAACTGTACGGAGGCTCAGTCACTGGTACATTTTTATATACAAAGCCATGTTAGGGAAACTTCCTTCCTACATCTGCTCCCTGATCTCACGGCGAATTGTAAGTGGCTACTGCCTGAGATCGAATGCTGTGGTTTTATTAAATGTGCCAACTGCTAGGACTGTCTTAGGGAAGATAGCATTTAGATGCGCAGCTCCGCTAACTTGGAACAGTCTGAGCAATTTGGTTCCACTAAATGTTTTTAAAGCAAGGATAGATGCTATCCAATCGGAAACTGTTGGAACCTGTAAATGTTACTAGCTATGTAAACTGTAGTCACTGTAAATATGCTGTATGATGTCCTTTTTTGTTTTTCTGTTATGTTTATATGTATTCATGTGGAACCTACTTGCAGCAGGTCACCCTTGAAAAAGAGATCAATGATCTCAATGGGATTCACCTGCATAAATAAAGGTTTGAAATTAAATGAAAGATTTTTTTTTATCAGAACATGCATTTCTCCTCATTGTGAACATATATTGCACTCATGTTCAGAATATATGGTACGTACATGGTCTTTTATAAATCTGAATATATATAGTGCATACATGTCCCCATATAATTGTGAATATATAGCGCATACATGTCCCCATATAATTGTGAATATATATATATAGTACATGTCCCCATATAATTGTGAATATATTCTGCATACATGTCCCCATATAAATCTGAATATATAGCGCATACATGTCCCCATATATTTGTGAATATATATAGTACATGTCCCCATATAATTGTGAATATATTCTACATACATGTCCCCATATAAATCTGAATATATAGTACATACATATCCCCATATATTTGTGCATATATATAGTACATGTCCCCATATAATTGTGAATATATTCTACACACATGTCCCCATATAAAACTGAATATATAGTACATACATGTCCCCATATATTTGTGAATATATATAGTACATGTCCCCATATAAATGTTAATATATAGTAAATGTATGTTCACATATATACACAACCAATATATTATATATATTTACATATATTACTCAATATATGGAAAGCGGCAATTACTGATGTATTATCCCATATATTACAATATATTATCACAATATATTATTCAATATATATATATTGTAATATATTAACACAATATATTATTCTATATATCTTCAATATATTTTCAATTTATTTTGTAGATATGAATAAATATGTTTTTCATGTGATTATTAATCAGTATCACTTGGTGTAGCCAACAGCAAGATTTCCTTTATTAAATCTTTTCAATTAACCAGTAAATCAGAAAACAAAATAATGCAATATATTGACAGTTAATATATGGGGAAATATATTTTCTTTGCGTAAGGGTCCACATGCTGCTCCTAAATGGTGAGGGCTCATGCTCCCAAAGGCAAAACACTCAAAAAATGCACACTAAGCCGTTTTTACTTTTCCCCTTTTCAGAAAAAATAACAGGGGTAGCGGAGACAAATGTCATCCCCCTGGGCTCCTTCATGCCAATATGGGCAACAGTGGAGCAGAAGTCCCATCAGCCATTGCTGCTGCTCATGGAGGAATGTGTGGCAGCCACTACGCCTGAGCTGCAGGCTAACAGCAATGTGTACCCCATCATTACAAATAAGGGGTGAGATCCAGTCTCTGATTTCTTTCATTGTTTTCTGGAGTTTAGTCCTTATCGCTTATCTGAATTTCTTCAGGTGTCTCCTGGACAGTGTGAAGGGAAACTCCAGGTTTCTCCCTCGCTACCACTCGTCTGCAATCATCCTCTACCTGCAGTCCTTCAAGTTTGGTCTCGGCGACGAGGTGAGGGGGTAAATGTAAAGTGCTCTAAAGAATATTTGGTTCCTAGCAAACATGTATGTTTCATGTGCTCCTCAGGTGTACATTCACTGCAAACTGCTCGCATGGGATCCTGAAGTTCTAAGTGAGAGCAAGAAGCTTGCCCACTATGTAAAGGGAAATGAGCGGTAAGGGAATTGTGATATGTTGGAAGTATGTGAAAATGTTCTTGCCAGCAGTTTAATATGATGAATGAAACTGATGCCATGTGCAACAAGTATGCACCATTAGCCAAGGATGCTAGCTTATTTTAGCATAACATATCCAACTTGAAGTACATCAATGCATGTACTTTGATCAGTATTGTGCTTTTTATATATCTATAAAAAATGATCTCCTGCTAACTAAAAGTATAGACAACAATTGTGATGAATGATAATTGTAAAATATTTGAGAACAATATATTTATTTTAAAAGGAGGGGCACTCAAATGATTAGCCAACCTAATGAGATTTATAAAATAAAAAAAGCCCTGAGCCTTTGTAAAATGTTAACCTTTTTCTGCATTGTAGATGGAAATATATCTTTTGGTCATTAACTTGATATTTATAATTTGACCAGTTTTTTAGTTTTTTATAGAAACATCATACCATTTTTATAACAGCTTTTTTCTTCTGTGTATACAAAATGTTTTAAAGCCATGCTGATGTATTTGAGCCTTAACGATTGCTGCTTCCTCAGATGGGAACTCCTGGATGACCCCATGCAGAGCTCCATGTGTGACTGCTGTTCTAGGACCTGCAACACTCGCTCCAAGAGAAGAGACGAATGGGGTATCGCTTTTATGCTAACTTGTATGCTTTTATTATATAGTGTATAGTCTTTTTCATTATGAAGTTATTGTTGTTTTTTTCCACCTCAGAATCCAACGGCTTCATGCACACTTCTGTGTTGGGACCCCTGATCATAATGGATCCATCGCAACAAAATGCCCACAATGCATCAGATGTTTCCATTGCTGACCAAGGTTAATGAGTATTTATTTATTTATGGTATTTGTCTTGAAGTTTTTTCAAAACTTGCCATAAGACTAACGTTGCTAAACATTTTCTCAACAGGAAGTCCAGTCTAAGATTGGGGAGACTGAACAGAGGGCCCAGGTGGACGACATCCATATGCAGATTAAAGTTGTCTATAATCTCTGTATAAATAAAACTGTTAACTCCTGTGGAGTATAAACGAGTATCTTTACTTCATATGAAGGTCCTACTGTCCTCAACTGTGTCCATCTGTCCTATCAGTAGAATTTTACTAATTATGTGTGACTTTTGTCATTGAAAGATACTGTCAATTATAATGTAACCTTTAATGGCCATGTGAGTTGGAGTATAGCCGCTGAATTTTTCTTTCACTTTCCATTTTACAGTGAGCTCTGCACATGATATAAATTCTGAAATTACATACACCACCAGATTTAAAAGTTATTGGTGATCTGTCTGGTATTACAACTATGGCAATTATTTATGTTGAGCCTGATTTGAAAAGACAATTCTGATCTGATCTTCTTTTCTGGGCACTAATGCCTGCAGTTGAATGTAGCATAGTTTACATACTTTCTGGCCATGAATATAAAATCAATAGGGATGGCCTGCATGGCACGTGTTTATGCAGTTAAAAGAGGACATCATAGCAACACAACTAATATTCAGGTGTGTGTGGATATTTTCTCACACTGAATACAACTTGAATGAACTGAAAAATGTACCTTTTCCCTTACCTTGAGTTTCCATTAGGTCAAAGATATACAAATAACATATTTGAATAGGACAGGACATCTGATAAAGGAATACTACCTTCCCCCAAATTATCATTTGTTTAGAAATGACTCACCTTTTAATTCTCAAAGAAAACTATTTCTTGCATGACTTGAAGTTGAACAAAGAATCCCAGCGTATACATATATTAATGTTGATATATATAACAGCAAAACTAAATCAAAACATCAGTAAGACAAGCCATGCACTATCATCCTTAAAGTGTTTTAAATAAGAATTTCATGTAGTCATACAGGATAATAAATTGATTAACAAATGGTGATTTTGTGCTGCTGATGAAGCTGAATACAAATGAATTGGGTGTAAGGACTAATGTGATTGGATGCTCCCCATGCTGTAATCAGTGTGCTAGCTGCTGCAGCTGGGACTGTTGACAGGCACCAGGTGAAAGACGTTATCTTGATTAATGCCTCTCAGGAACAAGGTATAAGAACATGCACTGTGTCAGTAGCAAGCATTCAGTCATGATGGTTTCATTTTGTCAAGGTGCACTGCTTCTGAGCCTGGCAGCTGCCGTGGCGGTATATGCAGGTAAGACTGGAAACAATTAAAGTCATGTTATTATCCTTGACTCAAATAGTTGAGTCTAAACTTAATTTATTTGTGTTGCAGACATTAAAGTGGACTGTGGGCCAGATTTTGTGACGCTGATGTGGACAGAAAGCCGACCCCAGGCCGACACGTCGCTTCTCCGTCTGGGTAGCTGTTTCCCAACCAGCTTCTCAGCAGGAGAGGCCTACTTCTATGTGGATCTCACTGACTGTAACTTTAGGAGACTGGTATGTGTATATATATTTTAAACCTGCAAGCTGTGAGTCTGCTATATTTCCTGCAGCTCTCTCAGGGGGATCTTTGTCTCTCTAACAGGTTACCGGGGATGCACTGGTGTACAGCAATGATCTGACCTACGTTGCTTCTGCAGATTCTTACAATTTGGCCTTCACTCACCCAGTTGTCTGTGCATATGAGAGGTTAGTGTTCATACCAACTACAACACAAGTTGCTAAAGGGTGACACCACCCTTATCTAACATTTCCATTGTGGCATTTTCATGGCCTGGGAAAGTTCAATTTGATAATAAGCTTCTCCCTCTCAAAGCCACCAACCATGGAAGTCCGTCTCAAACTTGTGATGTCATCAGGTATAAAGTCTGAAGCTGCTATATAGACAATGAATGGGAGACTGATTTAGGGAATCTACAGCCTGTTTCTGTTCTATTCCCAAATTAGCTTTATCTCTTGAAGTATTCTCAACAAATGCACCCATTTACTGAGAGCAATCCCTAAGGCAGTGGTTCCCAAACTTTTTGTGCCCAAGGCACACCAAACGACAAGTAAAAATCTCAAGGCACACCTATTGTGCAAAATAGCCCTTATAACACGTGTTATCACTCATATCATGTAAAATATCTGTAAATGTGCATAATTATTTACTAATGCCAAATAAAATGTGACAAAGACAACTATATTACTCATTAAATATTTATTAACGAAATATTTCAGAAATTATAAATGTAACGTTTCAGCAATCAGCATTGAAACATGTGCTATTGTAAATATTTTTGCTGACTTACAAATTAGTGAGATACATGTGCCTGTCGGGGCGCGCAGATTTTTTTAATCCTTGGTGGCCCTTTTAAATAGTTATTAGTTACCCTGAATATTTCTTGTCCCGTAGTATGGCTTTCCATTTCTTTGCAGAAGAAAAACGTCTCTTTGATAGAGTCAGCATCAACATATCTGACGTTTGCCAGAAGTTGGGCAGCCCCACTTATGTCAGTAGATTCGTCTATTTGTAGGGAAAATCTGCCGCTCGCCTGCAGTTTCTCTGTAAAATGTAGCTCAATGTCTTCTGACATGTCGTCGATTCTTCTTTTGATTGTATTATCAGACGACGGCACTTTGGATAGCTCATTTGCAGCATCTGGACCCAGCATGATACCTACAATTTTTTTGCAAGCGGGGAGGATGAGTGTCTCCGCTATTGTGTGAGGTTTCTTCTGCTTTGCAATGAGCTCCGCTAGCATGTAACTAGCCTCCATTGCCTTTTCAGACACTTTCACACAATCCAACAAACGGTCTTGCTGCCTCTGGTTCAGATCCCGCGCTCTTTTGAAGTAGGCCAAGTTTCTCTGAACATGGAAGGGATGTTTGGTTTCCAAGTGCCTCTTCAGCTTGCTTGGAACCATGTTCGCATTAGCTAACTTCTCCCGACAGACGACGCACTCGGGCTGAGGATTGTTGACATCCCCGGTCCAACTGAAGCCATAAGACAGGTAACTGTCATGATACTGTCTGCTGACAGTTTCTTTCCTCTTTTGGTGGTGGGTTGTCGGCAGTCTGCACTGGTGGTTGGTGGTTTGCTCCGCAAAAGAAAGCGCTCCATTTTCCCTCTTGCGTGTTTCTCTGTTTTAATGTTGTCCTTCAGCCTTCGATGTGTCACGGTCGTATAATTCCCACCTGCAACTGCGTTACCTGCGAAATATGGGGTTCCGTGAGGATTTTTTTTAAAAAGAATTGTTTTTAGGTATAGAGTTTGCCTCTGTATTATGAAATGAGTGCATACTGATATAGTAAATTAAAAAATAATTATTTTTGTGTAGTTGTATATTGCAATAATAACGTATGGTTGTCACAAAATCCCACGGCACACCCGGACTTGCCTCACGGCACACCAGTGTGCCGCGGCACACAGTTTGGGAACCACTGCCCTAAGGTACATTGTGTTTTTCCCAATTCATTGTCAATTGAGTTTTTCCCATATTGAACATCATACATTTAAGTTCACTCTAGTGTTTTGCATTTTGGAGGAAGTAGTTAATGTCTACTTATTTTGGACTGTCTTTTAGCATAGGAGTAACGGTTCATAACTAGAGAATGCAATTCCTGAAGAAATTGCTAGTGGGAATACTTTATGCTAAAAAGCTGACGCTGAATTGCTATGCTGAAATGTAATGTGTAAGAAGAAAGTGAAGAATTTAGATTGAAATGATACATGAACACTGGGGGCTTGAATGTGTGATAAGAAAAGAAAGTGGAAAAGCAGCAGAATATTTGAACTGCAAACTATTGAACTAACTTTATGGCGAATGATCTGTCACCATGGCAACGGTATTTGATGACACCCCATAATACGCTTAGATATGTGGAATGCTTCATCGTTACCAAACCTGTGAAGTTTGGAGCATTTTCACTGAAGTTGAGAACCATGTTTCATGGCGAGCATTGTGTTGCCATGGCAACGGCATTTGTAAAAATCTATCAACTGTCCCGTAGATGTCTTCATGGCTGGACTGTTACCACACATGTGAAGTTTTAGCACTTTTTGACAATTTTCATAGGAGTTATAGCAATATCGTGTTTTATTGCAAGGGATGCGTTGCCATGGCAACAGATTTTGAGGAAAATTCACTAATGGTACAAAGACATGTTGAGGGCTGGACCATTAACTGTCACCTGAAGTCTGGTGTTTTGGCCATTTTCATATCGGTTACGACAACATCGTGTTTTATGGCGAGGGATGCGTTTCCATGGAAACGACATATGGTGAGATCTCAGATTTGACATAGAGCTGTTGAGCCATGGACCGGTGATATACAACTGAAGATTGGGGGACGATTGGACCGTGTCCATTGGAGTTACAGTGACATCGTATTTTATGGTGAGGGATGCGTTGCCATAGTAACACCACATTACCCAACATCAGATTTGATGTAGAGCTGTTCAGGGCCACAGTGTTAACCATCATGTGATGTTTGGTGGCGTTCTGAGCATGTCAATTGGAGTTATGACATCATCATGTTCCGTCACACAGGTGTTTATGTTTTGAGCTAACAACGTTATGAAACACCTGTCCTTGAGCCCAGAGATCAAAGGTTTCCATGGTGATGTGCAGTAATCAGTGAGAGGAGAGCCTTTCCATTGTACTGAATGAGGGATAAACCTCTTACATGTGAACGTTTTGTTGAAGAACCGTAACAGATATCGGTGTGAAATTTCAACACGTGAAGCATCTCAAGAACCCTTAGCATCTGAAGTGTGCTTTTTGTGTACTTTCGGGTCAATAATGTGGCATTTTGGGCAGATTAACTAAAGGTGTGCGGCTGCTGCTGTGAGGAAAGATGAGCTTGAATTTACAATGGGCTTTAATGGAGACATGTTGAAAGTTTGTCACTTCATGCCCTCATGCATTTTGTTTAATTATTTTTCATTTTTCAAGATACGAGATGTTTTCATGTGTAACATTTTAAAGTTGGAATGAGGTTTCTGAGTGAAAGTATGAAGGAGCAGTTGAAGTGGCATGATGATTTTTCAAGTCTGAATAGTTTCTCCATTGACTTCCATGTTAAAAATGTGATGAATTATGGGATGTATCTCGGGAATTATGAATGAGAAAAGTAATG